GGGTCCCAGACTGGAGCACTTACAGAAAAAAGGCAGCTAGATAGCTTCAAACATCAACAGCTGTGACCTTTTTTGTGACCTCTGAGGGAAACTGATATATAGAAAAGCTTTAAAAGGCAATTATAGGAGGTCTATTAAGAACCACATACAATACGAGCAACTTTTTCCCGGTAAATGAGTAGGGCAGAGCCTCTTTAAGGACCATACCTTTCAATCTCAGCATCGCTGCTAACAAAGAAGATGATGGAGAACAAATTCTAAGCAAGACCTGCAGCCTCTCCTTTTTCAATACAGAAATTTTCTACAAAAGCTTTCTCTACATAATACATCCAAAGACTCTGAAAATCCTCAGCTACAGAATACAGATAAGAACCAAGCATGCTGGTTAAAATCCACCATCACAATGGGAAAACAGTACAAACACCTATGCTTTTATGCAATAATTGCAATACATTATTTCTAGTAATAGGGTTATGTATGTGAAGCAAATACTGATTGAGGGTGCCAGCAGATCACGTTTATAACAAGGTACAGAATGCAAATGCTTTGTGAAAAAACTGTAATTGGTTCAATACCAATTTTGGTACAAAGTTGGTTGTATGCATATTGATATCTAGGTTGCCTGAGTAACCTTAACACTAAATACAATACAGAAAGTAATTTATTATCACAAGTCTCCCAAATATATTACCCCATTCATATATATAAACCTAAAACCTAAATTGTTTCAAACCTAAATAGCCCCGTCCCAAATGTCTATTGTGACTTGAAACAAGCAGCAGACATTCCTGAGAGCTTAGCAGAATAGGAAGACTTGTAGCATATGTTTCCCTTCACTGCTCTTCCTTTGTTTCACTTACCTTGGGAGCTTGTGGCACTAGAGATTTCTGGCATCACCTAAGCAGATGTGAGGACCTAAGGGGAAGAAATTTGCATGCAGTTGTATTTACTGACTACAGCACTTGGGTTGGAAGTGCTGACTGCGCTTCCACTGAACTTCTTTTCATGAGCAATCCATGGATTGACTGAGAGTGGCTTGGCCAGCTGATGCAGTGATAGCTCTAGTAATCAGGTGATTACTTTCTGGTAATCAGGTTGAGACCTGAACCTGCTGCTTATTTGGCAGGAAGTAGTTTTGACTGGGTTCTGCCCTCATCATATCAAACTTCTTTTAGAGCCAAACTGAAATGCTGGTGTGGTCTTGCAAGAAAAGTTCAGCTTGAAGGTGTGACCTTGGTAGAGCAAGATCACTGGTAACACCTGAAGCCCTAGTCCTGAGAAGAAAATGCAGTCCCCAAGACTTCACTGTGAAAATCAAAATGATACTCACTTAGGGTTTAGGCTACCAATAGATATGGAGTCCTTTAAAATAAAACGTTTGACCTGAAGCAGCTAAACCTTCTTTACACTCTGTTCTCACCTAACACCTCCTGCTGCAGCAATGCTGTTCAGTGCAATCAGTATTCCGGGGCACAGGCTCTTTCCTTTCTTAATGCGAAGCCTTACTTGCACTTCTTTCAGTAGGCTGCATGCTAATGAGGACAGTTTGCAACCTTTGCTGTCAGCGAGGAGTCCCGGGGTAGCACTCCCTGATTCCTGGTTGGTGGGAAGCACTGCAAACGGCACCCTCTAATTGGGGAAAAAAAGCCAAATGATATCTTGTCGACATGCAGTTAAAACAAGTTACCTTAACAAAATGGATGTTTAGTATTTCATGCGAAGATGAAGCTCCTCAGGGATCCTTTCTGCTGGCCTTTAACAAATACTCAATGCAGTTGTCAGCTTTGCTGTACTTCCAAATCAGGAGGTTAAGAAGCTGAAGTAGAACACATATGTACAGAGAGCACGCAGTTACAGATATTAGAGGTGAGATGTGCAATAGTGGCATACAGCAGAGCACGGTCCTTTAAGAATGGGCCTACTGTTATTCAGATTACTGCATCACTGAGATGTAGGAGGGGAAATGAAGTTCCCCTGAACACCAACACATCCAAGGATTTAAATTTTTTCTAAGATCGATACCTATATAAACAGCCTGAGCAGAGGAAGAGAGACACAGAGATGTCCAGTGCCCTCTGCAAGGTGACATACAATGTCAGGAAAGAGCTGGGGACACAAATCAATTTCTTTAAGAAACCTTTCTGATACAGCCGAAGAAGTACACTGTAGGTGTTCACGGTGTTGTGAACATTTATACTTAGTTGAGTGCACATTCTTTGCAAAAGTTGGCCAAGAAACTGTTAATATTTTCAAAGAAAAATATTGACAGAAGCTTATGCCCATTCAAGACTTAACCTTTTTTTTTTTCCTGGTTTTAGTGAACAATAAAATTAAACATGAATTTTGTAGTTCTGAAAATAAATCATTTTTCTAAGCTAGCTGAAAAGTTTTCATAAGATGATGCTGCTGTTTTGTGTTGTTGGGAAAAGGAAAATTTCAGACACCATTTTGAACAGAAATAAATCATGAAGCATGCATTTTTTCTGAAAGTGTATAGTCAGTTCTCCTCATCACGAATGGCAGCAAAGATCTATGTATGAGTGCTCATCGATATTGCATACTCCCCTCCTGATTTCGTCTTTCATTCTGAAAGTAGAGCACAGTCTGCTTGCAGCAGTCAAGACCTCATTCAACGTGCTGTAATCTCAAATATTCATTCTTTGTTCATACATTTTTCTCCCTAGAAATGCTGAAGCTTCAGGCTATATTGATGTGAAACATAACTAAATATGGACCAGGGAGAAGTATCCAGCATTCAGCTGCTTTCTCAGGTATGTCCAGTTGTGGCCTCCAGTTTAAAGCTTGTTACTTGATTTGAAAGCCTGTTACATCTCATGAATCTTAGATATTTAGCTTCTGGCTGCTTTCATAGTTTCAATGCTGTAATTTCACCTTATGCACATAGAAATACTTTTCCTATCTATGCCAAAGCAATCCATCCACCTCTCTCACATGTTCTCATAACAGCTTCTGGGGTACAGTAGCACAGGATTTCTTCTGTGAGAGCAATTTGCTCTCACAATGTATGCAGCTGTACTGTTTTACCATGTTGGTCTTGGAAGGAGCTGGAAAGCAATTGCTTCCCAGCCCAAGCTTTACTCCTTCCTAGCCCACTGTGCTCTCCAAGGGAATCTCTGCGGGATTCTGTTAAAGAGGAAAAGGAGGATGAAGCTGTGTTCAGAGCTAGGGCAGACACAATATTACACCAAATCAATGGTTACATCCTACTCTGCTTTTTACTCGTTTCTTCTGTCAGCGCACGTAGATGATGAACACACCTCATCCTATGTCCACATCAGCTGCCCTCGACTCCCGCTGCCTAGCTCCATATTTCTCTCACTGCAGGGAACTAGTGCATTTACCATGGCCACAAAGATACTTCGAAGGAAAACACAGGACATTCTTGAAACACGGATGATGAACACATGCTGGACTGAAAAAACACTTCCTGCAGAGGGGTGCAGCATCACATAAGTGGTGCTAACTCAAGGCTCTGGCATCCCAGACATATTCTCTCAGGTGCACCACCAGCAGCCATGCCCTCTTCATGCTGAGCTCAAGGCTCCCTGGTAACAGTCGTAAATGGGAAGAGTCACAGGAGGCAAAGGACACATAGCCTTGTTCCAAGAAATGAGTGCAGAGCTGCTCTGTAAATGGAATTGGCACGTATGTGAGATGCTCATCACTTGTAAATACTGGTGAGAGCAAAATGTGCAGAGTTCATGGGGAATTTCTATGGAGCCCCACACAGTTACAGAGGCATTCCTCCTTAAATTTAAGGCAGCTAATTAGAATAATATATGTGCCACTTCAGCATGATGCCTGATGATCCTGCTGTGTAGAGAGGAAAAAAAGCCTTGCTTGAGAGAAAAAATGTCTTTATTTTCCCAAGGAAAATACAACTCTGAAACTTAGCATATACTTTTTCAGAGATGTTTCAGTCATCTGTCGTGGATCTCATCTACACTACAGTGTGCACATTGTTGTTCAGCGTGTCACCCTGTTGCAAAGTGAAGCCAGAAAATAACTAGGCAGGCCAACTTCCTGCCTCATGGACAGTGTGGGAGAGGAAGGTCTGAAACATAATGTTGTAGAGACCAAAAGCTAAAAAATAAGAAAGATCTAGCCATGACTCCCTTTCTTTACATTATTTCATTTTTTCTTTCAGTAACTCATTTTTAGGTGTTCCTAACTGCTGGTGATTTCTGCCTCTGCTAACCTTTAAGAATCCTAAAGCAGAGAAACAATTTTCTCATTTATTCACGCTACTCCATCCCCTCTAGAAAAGAAGGAATTATCTCAATGACCACTTTTTGCATCAACTGTAAAAACATGCCCTGTGCAAAAGTGAGTGAGGGCAGGAGGGCACACCTGGAACCCTTCCAGCACTCAAACAATCCTATTTTGCTTTATCATATCACAAAGAGAGTACTAGCCTTGAAACCACCATCTCCCTTGGGAGTAACGTCCCAAGAGACGTTCATCAAGGACTGTCAGAAAAACACCATCCTTCGGCCCCACTGGAGTGTGACTAAATGCGATTGTGGTAGAGTGTGTTCTTTCTTTTGTTTTCTTTGCCTCTCTGTAAGGCATTAATTTTTAAAAGCTGCTCTAATGAAAGCTTTAAACAAAAGGCCTAACGTGAAGGAAAAGTAGTCAAAATGTTCATGAAAAATAAAAAATGAAAGACATCTTTGTTTTGTTCAGAATTTTCACTGAATTTTTCATTCCTACAGGTTCACCTGCATCTATATTTGTTTTGTAGGGGGCAGAAGTCTATATTTTGACTGGTTTTTATTAGAAAAAAAAGGATAGAATTAAGATTCTGGTCATTCCCTAGACACGCATGAAGATTTCTAAGTGAAAAGAAATGTATTAGAAAACAAAGGCTGAAAACAGCAGTGCACACTGTTCATATTGCAAACCTTACATATGCAGCGATAGCATAGGGCAGCAAATTATACAGTGAAAAATTAGTCAGCGAGTATATGATTGCTTACCTGAGGATGCATAAAGAAACCACAAAATATAAAGGTCTTGCACAAAGCCACTTGCAAAAGCCAGACTCAAAGACAGAAGACCAGGTTTAGAAGAAAGAGGTAGCCTAAAATACGGCAATAGGATGCAGTAGGAGGTCTCTCAAACAGGCAGTCCTTTCACGCCTATGGACAACCTCCTCTCTCTGAAGTGGTGCTCTCTGGTCTGAAAGATCTGGTTTGAGATACTGTTTGAGAAAGTTTCTTCCCACTCTTCAGTTTCCAGACGAACCTTCTGCAATGGCAAAGAATAATTTCTCAGTAATAATGAAGTTTGAAATGTTAACAGACAGAAAGCTTTCATTGCACAAAAAACAACTCTCATTTTTTGAGGGCACATCAAGACAGTTTCATGCCAAATTCTCACTTGGGCTAGGAAACAAAGGGCATAGCTTGCTCTGACATGGATCTCCTGTGCACTGAGAAGGGTGCTGGGCCAGGCTGCCCCAGCTGTGAACATGGTGGGCCAGGTGCTCTTGGCTGCAGTCTCATACCACAACCCCACTACAGGCTCCCATCCATCAGGTGCCAGGCTGTGGATCTCCAGTTGCCTTGTGGCACTCCCCAGAAAAGGAAAGAAATGGTGGGGACCCACTGAGGGTCTCCAAGGCCAAGGGAGGCTTCTGTGTCAGAGAATGAAGTGACAATGATCCTTAATCACCTCCTCTCTACTCCACATTTTGCTCTGATAGATGAAGGAATTAAATGCCAATATAGGAAACCCCGAAATCTTTGCAGGCCTGGTTATGAGAGGATTGTGCACAAGTCTGTAAACTTCTCCATAAAGACATGGAGGGGGGGGGGGGGGGTCCTCAGAAACCACCCTGAAGCTGAAGGAGTAGCTGTATCTTCCCTGGACGCTGCAGCTGGATGCCTGGAGGCTGCAGCTTCACAGCAAGGACAGCTGGTCAACATTGATGAGTGCTTTGTGTGCACAAGGCAGGGTCACCACACCACCACCCTTCTGACTGAAATTTGCATGGTCCTGCTTAGCTCCAGGATCCCTCCCCCACCTCCTCTCAGCCTGACCACCTCCTTGCTCTGGGGTAATGTTGGCAGCAGGATTCGTTGCCCACCTGTCTGTGAGACCTTTACATCTTCGGCACAACTTCACCTCGACATGAAACTTACAGCATGCAGGCATGCAGTAGGTTAAAAATAAAACACTAGGAGGTAAACATAGCAATTCCTCCATCTTCCTCTGCTACAGCCTCTTTTGGTTCCTCATTTTCCTCTCCCGTATTGTTATAACAACAGCCTGTCACATGCCTTCTGTTTTGTTTTGTTTTCGTAGGGAGAGAAGTTTTACTGCAGTTTAGGCTAAGAAAACTGCTTTTATTTCTCAATACTGTATCCTTTCCTTATTCACACAGAGCAGGATGATTCTATATAGCAACTTCAAATCAAACTTTGATTAAACAGTGATAAAAAGATATTTTATTTATTTATTTGTTTGTTTGTTTGTTTATTTAATAAAAGGCAGAAGTGTTTCTAACCAAGGAAAAAAGAACCAAAACGTCCTAAGAAACTATGCTCGCTTCGTACAAACAAACTGCGGTCACACCCAGTAGCATAGCTCACTTCAGACAAGTGCTGTGCTTCAGCAGATGGCCCTTGGAGAGGCTGGTGCAGGACCCAGCACGATGAGTTACTGCTCTCCAATTAGGGACTTCAGACGCCTGCTGAATAATGTAGCTATTAACAAAAGCAGTGATTCTAAAGTTAGTAATATTCAGTCGCCGCTCAGCTGGCCCCACGATGTTCCACAAGGTATGGCCAATCATGTAGTCTTATGACCTTTATCCCAAGTAATTAGAGCTCATGTTTATGTCAGTGGGGCCTGTCCAAGGGGTCTGAAGGTCTTTTTCCTCCCAGCGATGGAAATCTCTAGGTAAATCAGTGCTGTCCAGGGGAATAAAAAACTGTTAACTCACCTGTTTGCTGCGTATGAGACATTGTTAAGCTCTGTAAATTAACAGGGGTAAATTCTCTTTACCTGAATTAATTCTCAGCTCTACTAATAGGTTAAATAATTTAACAAGGTCCTAAGTCTGCATGACAGCCTTAATTTAGTGCTTAGCTCTCTTTATGTGCTGAAGTAGTTTCGAGGTCAGTTGAATTAAATCAACGCTAGCCTAAAGACAGAGTTAAGCTGTGCAAATAGTTCCCTGAATCAGGAAGCACATAACCAGCAGATAACTCAGTTAGGTTTCAACTTTTGTAGGTGTAATTTCTTTTGTCTTCTGGGGTTTGGAGCAAGCTTTGGAAAGAAAATTCCACATTCTAGCAATGTTAATGACTTATGTGCAGGCGCAATTAGAAAAAGAACTATTTGCTGAGTTGGGCTCTGGGATTGAGCTTGCCTAAATCAAGGCTTGGGCATTTAGTTAGCCTGCTATTACACACACTACCACACTGCTCTTTCAATTTCCCCCCCTTTCTTCAGAATACATTATTTTTAAGGGACAGTTAAAGTTTCTCAGCTTTGCTTTTTCTCTTTTACATTCAGCTTCATATTGCCATACGTTGTCAGCTAATCTCCCTTTCCTTGTGAGCAGCCTACCCTACCATTTAAGTTAAAATGGTTTTTAGAATAAGTCAGTCCTATAAGATGTTATGACATTTTGTGAAACAACATAATGCAATGTGACTGATGCAGATGGATATACCCCATAAAGCTGAGAGATTTAGACATGTAGTTTTACCCCCAAATTCACTCCATAAAGCAGTTTTGTTTAAAATATCACTTTGAAACCCTATTTAAACTCCTTGGAATAGATAACAAATTTATTTAAACTTTTATATAAAAAGCTTTTTACCTGAACGCTTAGAGTTTTTCTATGTGCAAAGCTTTTTCAGCTCAGAGCATAGGGAAAAATATAAAATATATTAAAAAGCATCTAGCTAATGTTTCTTTCTTTACTCTCATTCCTGAAGCAAGAAAAAATGCTTTAGTGGGATCAATAGCTACAAATCATTAGAAATGATTTGAGGTTTTATTTCATCTACTTTTATTATAATGTCCATGCCATCTGCTGTACATATTGAGCTTATTACACTAATTCACTTTGCAAGCTGCAACCTCTGAGTGAGAGATGTCAGAGGGCAATTGATTAGGGGATATTTGTTCTGTTACACCTTTTCCTTTAATTTCTCTCCATAAGGATTTCAGGTTGAGCAAGTGAGCTGACATGGTAATGGGGCCTCAGGTCTGGAGATAAATGAGATGTGTGACTTTGTGCATTCATAAACATCAGAACATCTTTTAACCTGGCAGTGATGGGATGGACAGTCAGTGTCAGCTGTGTGTTAATACAAAGGTGAAGGCACAAAGTTGTTTCTTTGCTTAAAAGCTGAAAAAGAATGAATGTCCGACATATAAACGATAGCTTAATCTAGGAATCTACTTCCCATACACCTTTTGTTATCTGCATTCAAAATAATGTTGTGTGATAGCAGTAGGACAGAGAAAAGAACAAAAATAGAACGAAGAGAAACTCAAAGTCCTCTGAAAGTGATATCACTTACATACCAAGTGTTGGCACTGTATCCAGTATGTGAAACTCAACCACAAATGAAGAACTGTTTCGCTTATGCAGTTTTCAGCCCTACGGCCTGAAATTCCTGTCTCCCACATTTGCACTAAGCACACATTAAGGGTTATAGGTGCTTGAAAAAATATCCATCACCTTGTCTCCATCAGTTTGAGACAGTGTCAAGAAGAAGAAGTGAACAAGACATGTCATAAATATTAGAGACTGGCATGGTAACCTTAGAGCAATCAGTCCAAGTATGACAGTAGCCTGAATATTTAATAACTAAGACAAACTTTACAACAGCAACCTGAGTTTCATCCCACTTTGACCTGTTTATAATTAACTTCTACATCATGTCTGAGATCCTGTCAATATATACACAGTTGAGTAACATTTACACACCTGAGAAGTTCCAATGAGCTCAGACAAAAACCATGAAAAATCGTACCTCGTGGATACTGCTGCTGGATCCTGAATGTAGACAGCCATGCATGAATACGTAAGTCTAAGAACCTCTCAAAAGGTCAGAGCAGTATTTTAGCAAAGGTTTCTCACTGGGGCTCCAGGACCACCCAGCCAGAACTCTTCCCTGGTACAGAGCCCACTCAAAGAAAACAGCCTGGTCTAAAAAAAAAAAAAAAAAGAGACCTCACTAAGCACTGTCACAGGCTTTCCAGAGAAGCTGTGAGCCTCCTCCTTGGAGGTCATCAAACAAGCTGCCTGGACATGGTCCCAGGCAACCTGCTCCTGTTGGCTCTGCTTCAACAGGGGTTAGACCAAATGGCCTCCACACATCCATTTCAGCCTCAACTGTTCAGTGATTCAGTGACGTTTCAAGGTTTGGAATTATACAACATGCTATGAGTTGCGCTCATGTACAACTCGAGGCTGGCTTGTGACCCCACTTAAATTCCAGCTATTACAGACTTCAAAAGCGAGTCTAGTCACTGGTAAATTATGTGCTCTCTTACATCGTTTCCATTGTGCCAGCAGTGTGCCCAGGATTGCCATTTTTAGCTCGAAGGTAGACTGAACAACTTCCATTTATTTGGGTAAACAGGCTCTCAGATGATCTTCATTTTGCATAAGATATTACATTAGTCGATGATTATTTTAAACACTAATTCCGATGATTCTCAAGCACATAATTTATATAGAAGGTAAATGGCATGCCACACAAGTCTGTCTCAAACTTAGTATCTTTGATAACCTCTGAGAGAGAGACAGACTGTTGTCTGAGAACTTTACTACTATAATACTTTAAAATACCTTGAAATTGCAATTAGTGTATTTTTCTTCAGTTCATGAATTTTTAAATGGTGAAATGTCAGATCTTACATGACCTGACCCCCAACTATCTGGTTGTGTCATATTGTGCATCTAGTTTCCTCAGTGGGCAGGCTCCTCTTTGCCCTATTATTAGGCACTTTACAGCTTCACTACTAATTGCACAAACTGAATCATTTATGACAGAAATCAGGGCAACAATGGAGACAAAAAGATTGCAGTGAAGGTTTCAACTGGCGTACTGATGGATGCTGAATAGAAGTGCCAGCTGTGTCTTATCAAAAGAGACAACTGAAAAAGAAAATCCCAACAAGGACTTTGTGCATTCAGTGGTGCTTTGGTGTCTGTAGGAAGAAAACAGCAGAAAGGATTACTGAAAGCCTCTCTAGGCAGCAGGTCGCACCACCACCCT